GTATGAGAGGGACGAGGTATCGCCAGACTGGTGCACCGGCACCACAGGAACTGTTCTGAAATGCAAAACATATATGGTTAGTACAACATAATGCTGTGGAAAAAACATACATTATGGGTTAATTGTCTCATCCAATGCCAAATGATGTGTGCTGAATTATAGGCGAACACACGCCCTGTTATGCATCTAGACCCTCAAGAAAAATAAATGCATAAGCAACAACAGGGTCGGGACTGCGGCTAATCCCTAAAGAAAAAGCGAAACGCTCCCGGATGCATAAAATATCTCCAGTGTGCCCCAGGAATGTTTTGATTCCTGGATGCTATAAGACTAGGGCAAGAAATCACCCACGTTACTGTACATATATGAAATATGTACACCACTGGGAATGTGTTTATTCCCAGCAGCCCTGTAACCAACTTAAAGAGATGTTTTGATCTCAATAATGAAATAAGCCGCTACGGCAAGTAGAATTTTGCTGGAGATATGGCAGCACGGTGGACGAATTTTGGGTGAGATTTCTTTTTTATCTCAATCTTTAATGGAACCTCGAGGTTCCTCCTTGCCACATAACCCCGTAGGCATAGCACTCCATCGGTCTCTCGGGAGACCTGCGTCGGCTAGGAGACTTACGCCTCTCCCTTTCGGCCTTAAATTCGCTCATCACATTACCTATGAGCGACACTACTTGATCTAATTTATCTACTACTATTTGGTCCGTCCCCTTCCCCCCGGTCCCTACGGCAGGGGGTGGAGGAGGGGCTTGTGGCGCCGGGGATACTTGGCGATTTTTCCCAGGGCGCCTCCACCCAGGACCTCGACGAACTTCGTCGAGCCAACCCACTTCCGTAGTATCCCCAAACAATAAATCAGATTCAGAATCCGTAGTTGGCGTGATTTGGCACACCTTGCCAGACCCGGATTCAGTAGAGGTAGTTGACGTGCACTTTTTCATGAACTGAAACCACTCGATTTGCTCAAGTGCTTGATGCAAGGTTCTTGGGCGTTGCAGTCCCGCGTACTTGCCGGCGTCGACATCGCGACAACCCATACAAACACGCATTGCTGTTGCAGCGTCGATACTCGCTGCTGTTTCATTGTCTTTATAGGCTTTAACAGCCGCCGTGAATACACGGGCACCCCAGTCATGGAGCGATTCGTCCTCTGACTGTTGGAGAAGTTGAAACTTAGTTTTTAGAACCTCCCTGGGCTCATCACGCCCGTAGAACCCATCAAAAGACCTCAGGATAGTGTCCCAATTAACCAGCCCCCCACGAGCCAGACTCAAATTCTGCAGGTAGGATGCTGCTTTCCCTTTAACACATTGAAAGAAACCCTCCTTCCTTTCATTTGGGCTTAAATCTTGCGCCCTTGCATACGACTCGAATCGGTCCCTAAAGACAAGCCAATCCTCCTTCCCTGTAAATTCTAAATTTTTAGGGATTTTAACCGGGGCACGACCAGGTCGGTCGTGGCGTCGTCGCCTAGGGGAGTTAGATCGATCCCGATCACTATAATCCCTCCCATACCTGGTTCTAGCCCGCCCTCTAGGATGGTCAATGGGGTCAGGAGACCTTGAGTCGGATCTATTACGGTGAGTGTCTCGAGAACCTCGAGACCTGGGGTTCCCCCGGTGATTATCCCGTGGTAAGGCGCGCTCCGCCTCAAAGGCATCATCACTAAAGGAAGAACCCGAATCGTCCCTATCCACATAATCATCCCTAGGGGGAGAACGACGATACCCCCTATCATAAGAACCCCTAGGGCTAGACCGCGATCGCCTATCACCAT